GGTTCGATTCCTCGTGGGGACTCAGAATTTTTTCTTTGTCCCACGCTCGTGACAGGACGAAAAACATCTTTCTTTAGTTACAATTGGTTGAAAATATCACCAGATAAGATGAATACAGCATGCCGCAATCCCTTTTCTGAGCGAATAAACACTAACTGAAGTATCTAAGCAACAAAGGCCTTGATCTGCATGATTCGTCCGTGGAAGATTGCACGCATGTCACAAAGAGGAAGTTGGTTTTTTATTCATAAAAGTTGCGTGTAGGAACGGAAGTTGCTTAAGCTTTAAACGCACAATTTTGTCTGTTTGATTTTTCAAATCAGAAATGATGACCTTAGGCTCCATTACGGTTGTTATCACTATCAATTCGAGACCAAGTGTCTCCATAATTTATGTGGTAGTCTTGAAATGAGACACTGATAATTTTTTTGGCAAAGCTCGAAAAGCAATTCAAAATTTCTCCAGATACAATCATTTCAACTTGAACTTTCAAGAGTGCGAGTCACGTTCTTTTAAGTCATGTAGATGAATATTAATTACAGGCTTATCACAGACTTAAAATATGGGAATGATTTCAGAGGGCTGAACGGTGGCTTACACTCAATACATTCAGTCACCTTAAAGATCAGGTAAGTAGAACGAATTTTCAAACATTTTTAAAAATTTAAAAATTCTTTTTCTCCGTGTATTTGCATGAGAGAGATTAAATCCATTGGGGGTGAGCTTTAACAACGGAAAAGCTGGCACTAAATAGATATATACACCCCTTTTCAAAAACGTTGCAATTTGAAAAATTATATGAAATATCTACACCATTTGTTTCCTCATCAAAAAGTCTCTATTTGACGAGAAAACAAAAGTTATACACGCATGAATTTTATTCATTGACGATCGTCTGAAGTATTTATTAGTGGCAACGTTACAAAGTCATGCGGAGAGCAGTAAATGAGACTGAGAACTAACATAACTCTCTCGCGTGGCTACCTTTTTCAATGTGTTAGACATCCTACAGCGTTTTTCATGTTTTCAATTATCACACCAAAGACCATCCTCTAAGTTAGGCGGTCAACTTGTTTCCTTTTCGTGTTGTGATCCTGAGCTTCGTGTGCCTTTATTTTGAGTTGATAATAACAACGAGAATCCATATGGACGTTGGTCCACGTTGAAATAAAGAAGCTGTCAATCTGCCGCTGCGTTTACGAATATTCTTTACTAGTCCCCATTTGTTCTTTTAAAATCAGAAACTTTTCTTTGTCTTTTTTTTTCTTGTTTTTTTTGCTTTCTTTCTATATTTTTCCCCTTCTGTTAAGTTCAGTAGCGAGCCATAATGTTTTCTCCGACTTATGGTGACTTGTTACGTCATGCTGCTTTATCGATCAAATGTTCGTGATAGAGCTGCCATCCTTATCAGTAACCATTCAAACTCGGTCTTAGGTTCTCTAATCCACAGCGCGCGACAAACTCCGTAATTCCTTAAACGGAGGCTGAGGGGGTGAAAAATTGAAACTTACGTCTATGGAAATATCATATTGATGAATACGCCGAATGTTGCTATTATGAGTCTCATCAGATATCTCTGTGCAGGAGTCATACCTAGGGAAAAATGGCAAATTTTTTCCTTCAAGTTTTGATCAAATTTTGAGCCGAATCTGATAAGTTTAACAATTCTTTTTCTTTTTCGCCAAACAAAAAAGTGAAGAATCAAAGAGATAAAGACAGATTAATAGCATGAAGGTTCGCGATGTAGGAGAATAAGTGGGAGAATATATTCATTTAGAGAAAGCGGGAAATTACTTTTCCACGCAGTTAGCGGCCAAGATTCAACCGACTCACACAGCTGCAAATTATAAAATCCAATAAAATGGACCTCTCACGCCATAAAAAGTTTTATAATATGGTAATTGTAATATGGTCTTTGTTAAAGATGCATTAAACTACCGTATTTTCGCTACAGTGAATTCAATTATCTCGATAAACATTTCCAAGGACATAAATTAGTATTTGCACGATCGTGTTTAAGCCGTTTTGAAAAAACGGGATAAATCATTCCAGGGGGGCTCTTAAATTGCAAGGTTGGCTCTGTAAGGGACCAGAAACCTGACTGTTTCTTTAAAAGAGGAAATTCAAAGTTGAGGGTTCTCAAAGACAATGAATATGTTAAATTTAAAAAGAAAACAATTGATGCTGTGAAGCTGGATAAACGCTACTTCAAAATCGATCAGGAGAATTGTCAATTATATCGGCACAAGCAGAACTAGAACCCGTTTTAGAGGTAATTAAAAAACGCATAAATATATTTTAGCTCTAGAATTTACTGTTTATTTAAAGCTTAGCCTAGCACTTTGTTGTATTCAACTTTTTTTTGCACGGTGTTTAAGTTATATTCATCCCGCCTACATGACGACTTTATCTGGCTTGGCCTTTCTTTCCTCTTGCATCGTTTCCTGAGTCATCTTCAGTTACCCTGGAAATAGAGGAAAATTCTGAAAATGATTATTGGGACTATCGACTATTACAGAAATTAAGCGTAAATGTATTTTATTTAATTTCAAATTTTAACTAAAATTTTCATCCTTGCCAGACGAGGGAAATAGATATTTTCTCTGCTAGGGAAATAAGAAGGGACGAGACGTGAAGGACCTTTCCTAATTTTCAGCACATCCAGCTTTGCGTACAAAGTATTGTTCTGTACTTAGCCACTACTGGTCATTTTTCTAAACAAGATGTGGAAGGTTGTACCTTTTTTTTTAATCTAAAAGCAACAATTCCCAATCAACGCTCATTTATCGATGGTCGATGGTCAAATTCCTACAAGCTAATTATATTATTTTTTAGTTATCAATAGTGATAGCGTAGTGTTTTCTTTGTATTGCATCTAGTTTTTATCATTTTCGGCTCTTTAAGTGGTCGTTTGACGATAGTTAAAGGTGCTTTAGTTTAAAACGTATTTTACGTCGAACCATACTGACATACATCATCCATCATCCAATCAAAAAGTGGACCTGATATACATTTAAAGGGTAATTAGCTACTAAAGGGTTTTTGGCGGTGTTTTATAGAAACTGGAAAATTCTCAATTTAACCAGAATGCCGAAAATAATTCAGAATTGAGTTTGTTTGCTGTATAAACCTCTGTCATTGGTCTAAGGATTTTTCGTCATCTTCTCGATCAATCAGGATGCAACCTTAAATTAACGGGGACTTGTTCACCCGCATTTCCTCGCGCCTAAAGCCATTCAAATGTGATTAGTAAGAATCTCCATTGGCTCCTTGTTAAAGTTTACCATAATCATCATCATTAGTTGCCTCTTAAGATAACTTTGAAACGTACGTTAAGGCCACCGATGCGAGATGTTTTTTACAGAACAACCCCTCACTCATACAATGCTAGAACACATTAGACTGCTAGTTACGGGCGTTACGCAATCGTTTTGCTAGTAGTAAAGACTCATTGAGGAGGCGACCATTCGAGCCCTGGTTAACAAAATTCAAAGGCACAGAGTTACCGTAGCCAGATTTCCTTCATTTTTTTTTTTCAAAAGGTAACGTTTGAAAGCTGCTTTCACGGATTTGATCTGTCGCCATTCATCATTTTAGCAAATTGAGCAAACATGTATCGTCTTAATAATGGTTTTTTTGTTTTTCTGTCGTTTTTTTTTAACTTCGACACCCAAGACTTATAACTTGAAAATTTTTGCATGGCACAAGGTAAAAATATTTACAGGCAAACTCGATTTTTCAAAGTTAATCTTTCTTAATTCATTCAAGTTACTCAAATACATCTATATGATAATCAATCTTCTTCGCCTTGCAAATATGTGAGGCTTTAAAATCTTCCGCTGATGATGAGCGATCGATCACTATTTTCCATTTTACTTTACTTTGTTTTAATTTAAAAAGTACTGTTTCCGACAAGCTCTTATCACCCTTCTGAGCCATGTTGAGCCACTGATATTTTGATTGCGAAAAAATGGGCCCTAAATGCAAAAAGGAAGATCTAAAGTGTAGAAATTAAAATAACTGGCAAAAACAAGAATTAAGAATCCTCGCGAATATACATTGTTCTAGGTATTCGGCTTGAGGCCAAAGACATTTGCCGACAAGTCGGAGATAAGTATCGCAAAAAAAAAAAAAAGCAAAAATTGTACATTTTGGAAGAAAAGTTTAATTAAGTTTAAATGTACCCATGTGTCTTCAAAATGACCGCGATTTTAAAAGTGGAAAAATATATTCCGCCTTATTTGCCGATAACATTTAACTTTTCCGCCAACTGTATTTATATATCCCATCCAAAGTTGTTAATAGCTTAAACCTTTGTAGTCACCGCTAGCGTCAATTTTGTTAAAGTGAAACAATATTGCTAATTTATTATGTATACAAATAATAAAACTTTTGTTATCTTTTCTTCATAACACCAGGGCAACGAAATTAAAAATTTTTTTCTGGCTGAAAGATTAGAAATATACACTCTGAACATGGGAAATATTCCCTATTCTGATTTTGACGATACTTCTATATCTGATCTATTTTCATCTATCTATTTGAAAAATGAACGAGAAGGTGGTTTTATGTCATTTCTGCCAAAAAGGTCGAAATAAAGTTGCTAGCAAATGAGTTTAAAATAATCTCTCGGTGTTAAATATTTCGTAGAGCATTTAGCCATAATCACTAAAGGAGATTAAAAAAATGCGAAAGGAAAATAAGAATTATTCTGAATGTGAGATATTTGTTCATGAATCAAGCTAGGTACCATACCAGCTATGACAGAATCACAAATGAAACAAGCTCACTAAGGAATAGTAAATGTAACTTGTATACAATGTTGCGAAAAAAACCGGGCAAACAAACAAAAAAAGATTCTTAATCGGCTAGAAAGCGTTTAAAATGATTCGTTTAGCTCTTTGAAGTGAAATACAGATCAAGAAAAACAAAAGCGAAATTGCTGGCAAATTAGCAACTTTCAGAGGGCTCATCTCCATTTGTTTTTTTTAAAAATGGTAATATACATTTCACTGTTTTTACAGTTATCTCGCCGACCTCTGCATGGGGCCGATTCTTAAACCAATATTTGTTTCTAGAGCTTAGCGTACGCACAGTAGGGGAGGAAAATAAGATTAGAGCATCCCCTTCTTATCAACAAATTAAGCGACATAAAACTTGCATTTTGGCGGCATTCGCTCAATATTGGTTTTGCCGTCTCGACGCGAACAATACAAAGCCGTTATACTTTCCGGATCGACGCTTAACGCGGGAAACAAAAGGCGTGGGAGAAAAAAAGATTCATAGTACCTTGAGGTAATTCTTATTGATTGCACCTGAGTTTCATCTGAACAAAGTTTATTTTTATGTGGCTTTTTAAGTTTCCAGCTGATCGAGATGTCTGGGAAATGGATCCACGATGTGGGTGTGTGAATCTTTGAGGGGATAGTTTTACCTACGTGGGGTCATTGATCTAAGAGAGTGCTTTTGAAGATTCGTCTATCAATTTCGTAAACAATTATTTGAAGTATGACAGGAGAAGAGAAAATTACAATTACACTCACGAAATGCTGAGGGTGATTATTTAAGAATAAATATCACGAAAAAGAAAGTGTTTGACGAGGAAAAAAATTGTGAGTATGAAATTTACTCTTCTGAGGTCTTCACTAATAGTAAAAAAAGTTGGCTGTTCGAGCGAAAAAGAGTCAATCCGAATTCAAAAGCTTGAAAACTCAAATTTGAAAAAGAAAGGAATAATTGAGGAATATTCAGTAAGGTAGTAATTTGGTCTTCAGAAGGTTCTACTGGCCTTCCTTTCTTCGCTTTGATGGTTTCTTCTTATTGGACTTTGCTTGCTTAAAACCGTTTCAACCGTGAGCACCAAATATTTATTATCATTACGAGTAGCTATTTACTACAAAGGTGAAAATTTGTTAAGGGAATATTGTAATTCTCTAATCTTGACTGCCAGTGGGAGCCAATAACTAGAAGGAAATATTTACTAAACAATGCCGAATGTTAGTTATGCCAGTTTAGATCTCACACGATTAAATTTAAGATAGATCTGTTTTGAGCACAAAACTCACATCGGATACCGTAATTAGTAACTAGTGATAAGTAAACAAGCGACAGGCTAATTCAAACAAATATATTCCGAATATAAACAGATCTGATTATAGCACTCAAGTATAAAATTCTCTTGACTAAAATAATAAAGAATTATTCACCGATCTGGTTTTGGTAAAATGTTCGCAAACAACACAACAAATGCTTTTACGCGAGGTGATCGGTAAGTAGAACTGCCTTCCCTTTGGACAAAGAAACTAACCGGCATTCAGGTAGAGCGTAATTTTCAAATTGTCCATCATTCAAATTTTAATCCCGTTTTTATCATGACAATCTGCTACTGAGTTATTCCTGCTAAATACTGAGTCTTGCGCAAGCCTCTTAAGGAAAAGCACGTATTTACATTAAAGAATTTTTGTTAACAAAAGTAACAAAGGAAGGAAGGAGGGGCAACTAATCACGGAGAAAAATTCGGAAATAACTGCTTTTTAATTCACGTAAACAATGTGCACGAGTATCCGCTAAGTTCCCTGAAGAAAATTCCTTTGAGGTAGTATAAATAGGAATTTAGCATTTTTATTTTCACAAACGCTAAATATAATGAATTTTCGATAGTGCATCGCAAGCAGACACAATGAGTTTTATTCTTTAAACCAAAAATTTTAAAATTAGGACTGTTGGCGGCGTTCGGCTTATTAACATTTTATAATTTGCGGCTTTTTTCTTCACCACAAAAGTAACCATATCACTTTTCGCAAGGAAAAACACCTGAATTATACGCAATCTGTTCTTTGTCCTGTTTTCTATTTTACAAGAGCAAAAGTTAGGAAGATAAATTGAAAAATAAGTTCTAGTCCTAAATTCCTTCGTTTGGTCGGAAATCGACAGTGTTGTAACGTCATATCAGCCATTATCGTGGACACCGGTCGCCACATGGCAGACACGCGGGTGAGAGATATTGTTTGTATTTTCCAGCTATAGCAGCGTAGAGCAGTATCGATAGTGACGTAATACGTCACGCGCTTTTTGTCCCATTGCGTGCCACTGAGGAGATGTGGGCGTAAAGTTGTATGTTTTTCTTTCATTTAACTAAACTGAATTAGGTTCTAAACCACCCTCCAAACAGTTGCTCCCTTTAATTAGAAGTCGAAGGCGTGTAGTATACTAGTATTGTTGCAGAGGGACTGGCTTGGACGCGACTTGGGTTCTATTCAAAGAAAAAACGAGGTATTTCTTCAGCTGGGCCAAGTTCAACATGGTACTTAATCATTTCCTGCCACGCTTCTGACGAGTGACGAACGGTTTATGAATTAATAAATATGAGAGTTGCGTTCGTCAAGTCACATGAACGATTAGCATTGGCTACCAGCAATGAGGCGCGAATCACGCTGCTTCACTTTAAGTCTCCTTTCCATGTGGGAGGACGAACATATATTAATTTTTGTCCTGAGTGAGAACAAAGTGGAATTTTCAAGACCTGTCGCTACAAGGGCATTAACTGAAAGGAAAATTAACGATTGATACACCCTCGCGTTACTTAGGGACTCGAACAACTCAGGTAAATATGATGAATATACGGGGCACATAATTTACTACGATATTTGTGTGTGTTTAGTGAAATGCTAAAAACTTGGAAAATTTGTAGTAAACTGAAGTTAAAACTAGGGAGTCATTAAAAATTGAAAATAATTTCTTGTAATTTGTTCTGTGAACGAAAATCGGAAGGAAAAAGATGTATTTGATCATATAACAATATTACTTTATTTATTTCGTTCCTCGCCCGAGGTCACCATTTATAATCACAAAAATGAATCAAAACACTGAAAATTGGATACACAGCTGAAATTCCCTGCTGTGTAGATCGCCAAATAAATATAATGAGGAGATAATCTTTGCAAAATGGCATTTTCGAGTGGACTATTTGAGGTAGTAATCCATTCCAAAGTTTTGAAGACCTCTCATCAAGATTTTCTCTTTAAACCTATCACCAAGGATCCGTAACTAGCATGTTTTCGATAGAATCATTATTTCTGCTAATTAAAATGCTGTTATATACTTGTCCATTCAATTTTGCACTCATTGGGAAATTTCGTAGCTTCTCCACGAGATTACTATGACATTAGAAAGCAATCAAAAATCTATTAAAATCACAGCTTTAGTCGAATGAAGAACGACACTTTCAAATACGCAATTTGCTCATAATTGATTTTGTTCTTTTCGAAAAAAAAAAAAAAAGACTTCCTAACAACCGGGTGGGTGTTCCTTATTGTTGACTTTTTGACTAAGCTTTTGCCCAACGAATCTACTTATCTGAACAAAAGTTTAGTTTGCTTTAAGAAGGGTCTTGAATTTTAAGTTTATAAGAATTACAAGAAATCGCGCTTAACTCCGAGTCTCTAGAATATCATATGTAATGAAACGTGATTGGACCAAACTTTGAACCAACTAGGCACCAAGGTCAGGTCCTGCACTGAGGTTAAGTTTTAGTCACGTAGACGAAAACGGCGTTTACAATAAATAAACATTCGATGATACTGCGATCCTCCAGACTTTTTGGAATTACTTTGAAAGCTATATTTAGGTAAAGATAGAGTTAATTTTATTTCATTATCTCAATTTGTAATGATTAGACGGTAGTTCAAGACGCAGGCAAAAAAAAAAAAAATTATCAAGCTGAATACTGGCGGCGCCGGCCAGCTTTTCTGCCGGTTTGTTTCAACTGCAGGTGTTCTGTTATCGCATTATATAAACAAGATAAACAGTTTAACAGAGCACAACATGGTAGAACGTGAGGTATTTTGGTTTAAATGCAGATAAGCTACGGTTCCTAACAGGATAAATTTGAATATTTCGAAATTTAGTCACGGCTTTTGAAATCTAGCTCGTTCTTGTGAATTTGCAGTAGGTTGTCTTTTGTTCCTGTTTCTGTTTTTTTCTCCAGTACTATAACACGCAGTAAGTGTATGAACCAATACTAACAATAGTTGTTCGTGTATGAGAAGATCGGGTTTCTCGCCCGCCTCGCTCAAAACCACCTTGTAACTATAACATGTATGACTATATAAATCAACGTATGATTGTAAATCATCCCTTCATCTTCAAGAGGTATATGCATCAACACATATCGATATTTAAGCCTATTAATCATCGTCACTTAAAAATAACTTTAACGTTTTAAACGCCGTCACATTACGCCTCTGTAATTTCGAATTGTCTCATACTTCGTATCGTATACCTGGCTTTTTTGAATCCATACGAACATTGATCTAGAGCAGATGAGAAACTATGGAAAAACCCACTTTTTTGGTAACAGACTATCTTCCTCTCTCATAAGGTGACGGAAGTACTTTAAAACCCCTTTTCGTATAGATCACTTCTCACGAAAATTGTTATGTAAATTTCCTCTTTTTTGTTTTCCTTGTTTCAGGTTAATTGATGCAATTGATATTGTGTGAGGCTAAGTATCATTTTTATTTTGCCTTGTTTGGTTTCAGGGTTTCTACAACAGAATTAAGGCAACTTCAACTGCAGACGTATTTATCATCTGTCTATATCATCCCGAGAGCACTTGCATCAGCTTTCAGTAGCATCTGAAACTGTCTATGGACACAATGAGATCCACACTCAGGAAAGAAACTAATGAAGTCGGTGAACATTTAGAACTGAGCGAGCAAATGAAGACGCGATGTCGACAGGTCGCGCGGGAGTTGCAGCATTTAGGAGATACACTCGAGAACAGATATTTTCGTCAAGACGTTGATGAAAATCAAGAGAGACGTCCTCTTGGACTTAACATGCTGGAAATTGCCAGGGAGATCTTCCGGCGATATGTTACGGAACTTTTTGCGCGTAACAATTGAACTGTGGAATAAGAACAGAGATATTTCCGATCTGACTCTCGGCACCGTTCGTACAGTTTTCAACTATTTCTGATCATGACGTTAGAGTTTTGCCGTGCAGCATTTTCAATTATCGTGTAATCAGCTGAATCAGCAATTTCGATCAGTCACGAAAACAGAATAAATCACGCAAGAACATGGATATGGAAATACGCATCAAAGCCAGTCAGGAAAAGCACACATTTCTGGCTTAGTGTGAGGTTTATCACGGAAAGGTCGTTAAGGGCTGTGTTTGAAAAGAATTTAGGATTATATGGTGTTAGGGATCTTCGCGTGTTTTGGTGCGAAGCTTCTAACTGACAATTTTTACCCGTGTTTACCGGCGTACCATGACAACGCTAGTTCCCATTTTAGAACTCGGCGACTATAAGATAACTAGCAGAAATAATCACAAAAACAGCTAATTATGAAACAACATGCGTTAAATTCGCCATATATTTTGCTTCCGAGAAAATAAAATGGCCAAAAATACATGCGTGCGAAGGGTTATTTGTAATAAAACAATTCATGTCGCTGGTCACTAAATCGAAAGGAAAATATATAAATACAGATGAAAATCTCTCTTATTAGCGACTCGTGATAGCTAAAAGATGAGTTGTATGGAAACTAATCAAACATCTTTAAAAATAAAATTTGTAAAATTATGTATTGGTCCATTCTTGTTTTATTCGCGAAGTGTCCGTGTTCGTGAGTGTGAGCAAACAACCAGCATTTTAGGAAACGCTATTCCCATAAACCAAATAAAGTGTATCAAAGCAGAGTTTGTAAACACTCTTTACAGCTGCCTTAATTTTGAATGAAAATAATGAGCCTAAACTTGAAAATTATTTCATACTCGGTTTCATACTTTGGCATATAACTGACAAGTGTAAAACTTCCAGAAAGGTTATCTCACAAAAACACATTTGAAGTCCCACTGTAAATTAATTCGCCTAGGGGATGTTATTGCCGTTTTTGGTTCAATAATTTTCTAGAACACACATGTCGTGAGAGATGTCATTAACAAATGGTTAAGAAGGTAAATAAACAGCAATTGAAAAAAAAAATAGAATCTGCGTGTTCACGCTCGAAAAGTAAAGAGAAAATATTACAAGAGAAACAAGTTGAGCACATAACTTTCATATTTGCATAACTCTTATCATTTTGATCGACAAGCCGGAACAATCTTGCCTTTTTCTTAAAGAGTGTTGTCAGAGAAAAGTACTTCTGCGGAAAATAATGACAACCACACTTAAAGACACGGGAAATGATATTGTAAAGCGACTTTTAAGGCTGTACCACGATAATGAATAAGAAAAAGGTTTGTAAAGAGCATTTCAGCCTTATTGTATTTATGATGTAAAACCGATCTTTGGAAGACGTGTCGCGAAATTAACATCGATAAAGTCTTTGTAAACGGAAATAAAAGGAAGTCTACTTCAACTTATCCCACGAAAAACGTATTGAGATGAGCATAGTAGATTGCAATCAAAAAGTATCAAAAGATAACAGCGAGATTAAAACTAAACAAGTCGAGAGTTAACTGTTTATCTGGCAATGTTTTGAGTATTGAAAGACAAAGAAACTGAAACTGGAAAACATATGGAAAATATTAGACTTTTATCGATACTTCTTTTTCAAAAAGAAAATATCTGCATGTACAAAAGCAGTATACTACCAAAAGGTCTCCTCCGCAATAGCTGAAGAAAGTTATTTTTCATGATGATATGTCGTGACTTTTCTTAAGTATCTGAAACACTCGTGCAGCCAAATTGATGCCAGTTTGCCCCAATATAGCTTAAATGTTAGTCATAAATCATTTCTAGACTCTACAAAATAAAGATAGCAACATTTACCATAACAAACGAAGCTAAGTAATTTTCTTGTAGAAAAAAAGGCCATACTAGTGTACTTAAATCAGGTTACAGAGAGTCCGACTTTTCCAAAAAAGGTGTTCTTCCGCATTTACCCCTCAACAAAAATAATATATTTGCGTGTTCTGAATAAACTTAATCTAATGCTGATGGACGTTGTAATGTCTATGCCTGGACTAAAAGTTCTTCCAAGGGCAATAAACAATTGAGAACCTCTTGGTCACGAAATGTTGACAATGAAAAGCTGTTACACAGTCATGTGTTACAGTTGACAGCAATTTGATGTATCTTTTTCTTTAGAAACAGTGTTACGTAGGTAACTAGCGTAACACAAATACACACATAGAAAAACTTCGTCATAAGTTTTCCATTTTGTTCCAACAGAGACATCATATCCGCGCCGTTGTGGAATTATTAGTTAGTGAACTTGAGTGCATTTACCGGTCAGCGAGAGCAAAACTCTCAACCTTTTTCTTTTTCTCTGGAAATTTAGATAAAATAACGCCGATAGGCAGAAGACCAAGATCCATTCAAGATATAACTCTCAGATAGAGCTAAACACGGAAACTCCAGGTTAGAGAAATATTCAAATTGTAAGCTCTATGTACACAAAGTGAATTTTCCGTTATCGTTATTGTATGAATGTGTCCATTTTTGATCAACAACAATAACTTTCGGAACTGTAGAAGCAAATAGAAGGACAGAACTCTATCTTTAAAACGGAGGTCGTCATTATATAGCTTTGCTACCAATTATTATAAACAGAACAGTTTTTTGTTTGGACGCAGCGACAAATTGGGTTTACAACTGAGTACATTATATCCCTATTAATGAAGTATGAATTGAATTTATTTAATGTTCAGGCTTCCTTTTCTGTGCTATCTGATGGTGAAATCTCATTGGCTATCCATACTGCGCTAATGGCATATAACACAAGATTTTCGTACCTTAATGGCTTCATTCCTTTTTCTAAACATTCTATATGAACCTTAATGGTAATATTATCTTGAGGATAAATTCTAATTGTATCATCTCCACTTTGAAAGCTTATGTCAATCTATTAACGTCGTTCTGTGAACGACAACAAATTTCTTAAGTTTTTAATAGCATTGCCGCATTTTTTTCTTCATCCGTCGAAAATCGTCGCTCTATAATGCAGAAAACTCGTCTCAAAATCATAAGTATTGTTTTTGTTTTTTTTAGTTCTTGAGGGACGGCAGGAAGACGCATTTGCTGTCTGTGATATGAACTAGAAAGTCTTGAACCTCTTTCTGCTGAACCAAATGAATCCATTGAGTTTCTTTTTAATTTCCAAAGCTAGTGTCAGCATAAGTTTATTTGCCGTTGAAAACTAAACATAAGTCTGAACTCCTAGCTACATTTTGTTCAATTCTCGCGGGCGTTTGTTTTGAATTTTAAGCGCTTTTAAAATCTGTCAAAATCATTCTCCAAGTAGTCATCTGAATAGCCCCGAGATAAATATGGCACTAAAGTAACGGAATAACAATTTTTAAGAGCTCACTGTGAATGTTTTCTTAAAGTCCTCGTTAGAGAGGCCCTTTTCCCCTCATTGACTATTTAATCAGTACATAAGGTTGTTTAGAATGTCACCAGCTCCGGATGATATATCTATGTTTTGAGATAAAAAATATTGAAACATCGAAGTAAATGTCAGAGCTCCTCCTTGAGTAATGTCAAAACGGGTATCAGCAATTAAAACTAAGAGTTTTTAGTTGATTTAAAAGCTTTTTGTGGTGGGCCAGACTCAAATTCAAAGATAAGCACTTGGTTATCGACAACTCTGTCAAAAAAAAACAGTACAAAATTGAAGATAAAAACCTCTCTTTTTTTTTGGAAATTGATATTAGACAGATTTCAGCTAAGAATGATAGTGTTTTGATTATTGTGTAAAAGGAAAATAATTTCCATACTTATCACTGCCATAATGGACCCTCCCATTGGAGACAAAATAACCTAAATGTGATGACATGACCTAGATTGAACACGCAAAGCCCACACTCACTGATATCAAGGTAAGCGAAGCGCTTGAGTTTTCATCACAAAATTTTTGAAACGTTCTGAATCAAATCAAAAACTTCAGCAAATAGATACGTCTTAGAGTAGCTACTTTCGGTCGTTAAACTTTAAATTGTACCAAATATTGGAAAGGTTTCCTAAGCAATTCGCTTATGGTACATAGCTACACGAGGCTGGCCGGCTGTCATGTAGTTCAGTGCTGGTTTCCTTTTTCATGTTGTTTAAGACATAGATACTCTTCCTTATCATCCCTAAAATAAAAGCCATCCAAGCACAAAAACTGCAAGAAAAACAAAAGCAAACAAAAAAAAAATAACAAGGATACTAAATTTTAAGGTAAAAGTCGCAGCGGCTTCCTTTGTGTTCATTTAAAAAGACCCTCTACATTCTTTTCAATCTAAACAAAATTATTTACGGTACGCTATAGATAGCGTAAAACACAACAAACAGATGATAATTTATTGTTTAGACCTATTTTTGCATCAATTACGCCACAGATTTGTAACCTCTACTGCAATTTAACATTCAGAGGAAGCTAAAAGTCCTGCTTTTGAGGGCATTGCTCTTTCCAGCTGATCTTACATGACGGCCTTTCACCCGTGAGCTAAACTGTTATAAAAAGCAGCATATAAAATAAAAAGCAGAAATGGGATTGATTTTTTAAGGTACAAAAAATACTTGCTTCATTTCTACTTCAGTAAGTTCAACCCAGTTTGAAATTCTAAAAAATTTTCCATCAACAACTTAACTGAAACTTTCACATCTTGCTCATCGAAGCTAAGACAAAGTTGTCCCTGCGATAGAGTTGCCCCTGCATTGCTGGTACCAGAGTAATTGATAAGCTTTACTTTAGTAAAAGCACATGCAAGTTAAGAGCCCCACACCCACTTGATAGTGTTCTTCCAAAAAAAAAGAAGAAAAAAAAGGTAAAAACTAGAGCTGAGCTCAGTCTATGATCACCAGTCAATTCTTCTGCAGTCTAGTGTCGTCTTCGCAGCAAGACCTCAGAGTGTCATTGACCACTATTTTCAAAGCGGCTTGCTCACAAACGAAGAACCCCACTATACCACTACACTCTAAATATCGTCTATCTTTCTTGTGTTTCTTTCAAATGGCCTTATAGCCATGACTAGATAAGAACTGTGGATCAACGGTTGCATTTATACAGGAATGTGCTTAAACATTAATTTTACTTGCTCATGAAGGTACGATAGCAGGATTTCTTAAAAAAAAAAAATAAAATTTTTCAATCGATGCTATGCCAATCATATGTAAGGTTAGCCGTAAAAATATCCTTGGAGTAACGTACTATAATTATTCGATTACTCTTCAGACCTACAATTAATAATTCCTTAGGACAAGTCGAGACAATTTCGTGCGACGAAACTGACCCTTGACGAGCAATATAAGAACATGTTAACGATTAGCGAACAACTGAACCGGGGCACAAATTATGACACTTGCAGGTACCAGCCGGTGAAATTCTCAGTTTCGTTCACGGACACCAAACTATTATTTTTTTTTGCATGCAAGACACTTCAGTTTCCAATATTGGTTTTTTACGTCTGCGAAGCAATCAAAACTACTACGTCTCGTCTTGTTAGAGTACTTAAAGGCGATGGAGATGTGCTGTGTATGACACAGGTTGTCAACGAGCTCTTCCAGATGTGAGCCTTCCATCTACATAATGATTAAGAAATTCTACCGCCGATTATTGAATGCTTTTCAGATGTAGTGAATTTAATTGGTGAAATACATTCATAAGACTCTACACCGCTAACGGATTATGCAGGAGAATGAAATAAAAGACTTTTTCACCTTACGTGTCATTCCTTACGGTATAGACAACAGATCATATATTCAGACAGAGTGGTTACCATTGTTTATCTTGGAACCTCCGGTACAGGGAAAATTAGGAGACATGTTTGTATCTGTCATTGGTTTCATCTGTTTTTGATGTTAAGGCAGCTGTGAAAATTTTGTGCAACAGATAGCCAACTTAAACAAACATGAAAAAAGCTGGAAACTACGGCTATGAATTAATGGTTACTCGCATGTTACTGATGCCGTGACGAAGATTGTGACGCCAATTGTCAAATCAAAACAAAATTTTCAAGAAAAACCAATGCAAGGAAGACAGCAATTGTGAAACCGCTAAAACTAAGGCGACAAAGAAGCCGCAAAGCGAACTTCTTGGTCGGAATGCTTGGATGTCCGGCTTCTTCAGCGAAACGCTGGATAACGCACGGAACGAGGGTTATCGTTTCGTGAGAACTCATTACAAACGTGTTAACAACGTGTTAAGGGTGTAAATCCACATGTCGACCGCTGACCTTCTGACGATGAGGAATATTGAATTTGCGTAACTGTAACTGGATATTTGTTTACATTACAACAGCGTCAAGGGGTTATAAAACTGATTTTACCGTGTGTGTACATCAGTGTTGAGATTGATATTTCAAAAGACTGACTGTTGCTGTATCTCTGCATTAGAGACATTTTGTTTAGTGAAGTGACAAAGCCAAAGGTAAACAGTGTACGTTTTTGCTACCTCGGTTGGTTCTTGATAATTTTTGATCGATTTATTTACCAAAACCTCGATATTTAAAGACTTTACGAGATAGAAATCAATCTGTCCAAACCATGTTATTTCAATATGTTAAAGTCCTAAGGTATAAGACATTCATTTATAAATCGACGGAAGTTTAATTGTCTAAGGTATTGCAATTAATCTGCAAAGACAAAAAAAAATGAGCGCCTGAAAAAAATGGCTGAAGTATGTTATGGTAGTATCTCAAGGTTAAGTGACTCATTCAATTTCTCATTTTTTGCACACAGAAAGGAAAAACAAAAACCTTTAGCAAAGAATGATTTCTTGCACACAAAAAGGAAAAACAAAAACCTTTAGCAAAGAATGATTTCTAGGCGAGTAAAGTGGATATGCATTCTTCTGGCCAACTTCATCGTATTCTCAATTCGGATTATCCATATTTTACTTTAGTTCCTTTTTTCAACTTTCGATAACATTTCATCGTATTTCTACCTTTACAGTCCTTTAAAAGAAGATATTACATAAATATGGGCTTTCATGACCTCGAGATACTGCAAAACACGTGCGAGGAAATTGGTGAGAGCCATTCTCATGAAATGCAAGCAAGATGTCAGCAGGTTGCAGCTGAACTTCGAATCATTGGAGACGCCTTAGATAGGAGTTACTTCCAAGACACTTCAAGCAACAGTCGCCGACGGTTTTTCATCGGTGCCGTAATGCTGGGAATCGCAACCAACATTGCGGTACATTACTTTGCCAGGATATTTGCTCGTAACACTGATTAGCCCTACGAGATGAAACACTGTGAAAATTCGGGCTACGGTTAGCTTCCTCTCCGAGATGAAAACGTCTCTCAGTTCAGCTTCGAGACTAATTGGAACGTTTCTCGAGAAAATACTTCTTCAAATGATGTAGGGAATGTATTGAAAGACTGTTACTGATGTTTTAATGTTTAATATTAAATCATTAGCCTTAAACTTCTGAGACAGGAGAACAAGAGAGAAAGCCTTCGAGGAGAACACCATTCATTCGTTTACGAAGAAGCAATTTTTCATGGAGGTAAATTTTTTTAATGTATCTTGACTCAAACATTTTTAAACAAAATATATTCGCAATAAGTTGGATCAAGAAAATGTCATAAAACGTTTTGTTGGTTAATGTGATGTGTGATGCAGAGTGCATTGTTCCGCGACACCAGAAGGTTTCTTTTAGGTACTACATCCAAAATTTTACACAAATATTTTGTAAATTTATCCAATGGGTGCATGCATGGATCTCGAATTATTGCTATGTACAATTTAGTTTGAAATGGCTGGTTTTGCATTGAATAAGACCTCGGACATATTATTTTATTGACCATTATATGTTACGTAAAATGTTCTCGCCAATAATCCCATATATATATACAAAAGAACTGAACGTAGTTGTTTGTTTGTAGCAACATTTATCGAACGCGTCAATTAGAACGTGAGAAATGGTGCTTATGACAAGAAAGGAACATCCCTAACTTATCTGAATTTGTTTTTATGTACAGGGAACAACCTTCAGAAACAAAAGATAATAAAACTGCATTATACGTTGTTATTTAGTGCAAACGAGTAAACCTCTTATCTAATTCCACCAAAAGTACCTCATTTGCAATGCAAGTTTTTCGTGAATATTTTGTGAGGTCTCTAAAAGGGTCCTACCTTTGTTTCAGCAAACAATTATTTTTAGACATATTGCATCTGGGAAAAAAATTTAAATTAACATATTTTTAAAGGACACCTCGATGGCTGCAATAGAAAAGCCTCAGGCTGAATTGATCAATGCAGGGTGTTGGACAGTAGGAACATAAGAAAACTCGGGTAGCAACAACGACGAGAAAATGGTAAAGAAAAAAGCTTGATGAGCAAAAGAACTGCCTGGCTCAAATGTACGAATTTTCTTTGATTTGCTTGCCATTCTTGTTAACTAATGCATTTATATGAAGGGGAACTAAACAGTCAACAATGGCATCGTTGGAAAAATTAGTATTTCCTATTCAGAATGCAGGCCTCCTCTTTACAGAGCATGCTCTACACAGTCCTGATGTTGATACAAAAAACTAAAGGTGACAGTCAAAGAAAACAATTCATAGCATCTTTGTTAATGGCGTCGTCGTTAACATTGGAATAATCAATTTTTAAGGTCCCAATTGCATTGCGAAACTGTTTGCTGGCCTGTTCTGTTGTTTAGATGGGGACCGTAACGATTAACAGGGCGACGACGGAAACGAAAATTTTTCGGAACAATAGGGTTTACTGAGCAAAACAATGGCTTTGCTAGTGCGTTCTAAAACTAAGCATGTTTGTTGACCGTCCCGTACATCAAAAACTGAACAAATCCCTCAGAACAGAGGCCTTGACAAACCAATTTGTCTTGTTTTCATTTCTATGATCACTTCCTTAATATGGATGGGTCTGACGATTTTAGACACAATAAACACGTCTGGCTGTCGGAAAATGTAAGCATTATCTTTTTTGGCACAGGTAGAAAGACTTGAGGTTCAAAATATACGTACGGAATGTTATGGAAAACAGTAACATATAACTCAACTTGTAAGATACTTGTAACTTTATAAATTAATCACTTTTATAAGGGAAAATATGATTTTCAAAACGTTAAATTAAAAAAAAAATTTATACACAAATAGAAATCAATCACCAGTGTGTTTGATTTGATAATTGAGTCAGTTCTTCATCTTTTTCTTCTCGTTCACTTCTAACACGTAATGAATATTTTGAGTTTTGTCAGGAACGATCGTTTGTCGTAAGTATCCAGAAAAAACACCCTAACTTATGATTTACTGAGAGCTATACCATCATTAACAAACGTACCTCTCCTCATTTCCCGATCCATGCTTTCCTACTCTGTGTTTTAAATTTCAAACTTCCACGCAACTCATGCCCAGTCATGTAAACTCTCTGAAGACTGTGAAAAGCAACATGGTAGAGTGATATTCCCTAGCGAAATTAACGGTCACATTAACTAAACCAGTTACGTAAGAGTTTCTTTCCTTTCCTCGCTTGAAGGAGGCTTTTTAGCCGGCAGTAATAGCTAACAAGCTTAAGCTAGACATAGCTTATGAAATATACATAACAAACAGTTGTGAAGGGGATGATTCACCTAACAAAGGGGTTGGCAAGAGCAAAGGTGTCACAACCAGTTGAAATTTCCTATGGTTATGTTCTCAATTGTTAAAGAAGAATACATTTGCATTTCAAACTCGTTTAAGAAAAAAATTAACCACGGATAAAAAACTATAGATGAAAAATTTATTGCGCAATATCCATCATGTCACTGGCTTAACTGTAGATCAAGGGAGTACTGAAGTGTGGTGCTGCGTCGATGGGGAGTGTTGGATGGTAATTTTGTTTAACAACTAAGTTTATAATGTAAATTGGCCATAGTATAAAGTCTATAAAGCTGACTTTTCGGGTGCCAGCCCTTCGTCAGTTTCTCTTATGAAGGGCTAACTCTCGAAACGTCAGCTTTAGAAGGTCGTGAGCCGATTGACATTTTAAACTCATTTGATAAAACAAAATTAATTTTGGATCAACTGGGTTTATCTGGTAGGCTTTCCTAATCTCTTTTAGTTGTTTCTGGGGTTTTGTAGTGTGCTTTTTTCACACCCGGTCCGAGATCTGTTCAGTAGTTGACGGTCTCAAATTTTCACGAATTGTTTTTACTCCGAACTGAAAAAGACTGATAGCAGATAGAGCACGAAGGAATGGGAGGAAAGAATTGCAAAGAAGCTTTTAATTACAAACTTGCCGTGTTTGCTTTGCTGATCTGTCAGAATAAACTTGTTTTAGGGTGTAGCCGACAGAGTTAGACTCAGTCATTCGTTCTGTGGTTTGTATACAATTGCGTTTTCAAAGAGATCCTTGCACAGTCTAGTAATCCGTGTATTACAACTCACTCCCAACATTATCGGGACTTTCTCTGTCAAAGTTATTCATGTCAACGTGAGATCACGATAAATTCTCCAAAACTGCATCAATAGAAAAGAGAGGGAAGCCGCGACTTTGAACCTTATAATTAATTAGCAACCTGGACGCTTACCTGAAGCCAAACAGTCTCACTCCTCTGTTTTTTTTTCTCCTTTGCATCTGTTAGGAACTACCGCAATAAGTATTCTTTACTCAAATAATGATTCTTTTACGAAAACCAAAGCGACAGCTGCTTGTTAACCACGCACCGTGATTCCCGCCCACTTGGACGTTTGCAACCGCGTTGCTCAGCTGTTTTAAAAAAGCGGCGTCAATAATTTAGCCTTCAGCTTAATAAAATAAAATTTTCAAACCATCAGCTGACTTGAAGTAATAGCAAAACGGCATAGAGTAGTTTATGATCTTTATAAAGCATACGAACCGAAGGTTTGCCTGACAGTTTTCTTAAATCCATTTACACGCCTGGTTGGAGACGGACATTGTGGATGCAAACCCGAAAGTTATGACACATGCCGGACAAGCTAGGGCGCAAACATAGAACTATGGATCTTAAGCTTTGGTTCTCTGCAATTACTCCAATCGCCATTCTATTTTTTGTTCGAGATCTAAGTGGAAACCGAACGACACACTCTATAAAAAAAAATTATATTCAATACGCCTTTCCCTTGATCTTCAATATATTCCAGACAAAAAAAGTCTATTAAATTTTAATTGCAAATTTTAAAAGAACGTTTTTGCTAAGAGCTTGGCTGATACACATGCGAGGTCTACGATAAAAATAGAGAGCGCGTTAGATCAGTGAACGATATTCTAATCGATGCCAGCTACCCTGAAATAAAAGATCGAAAAGAAGAGAAACACGCGCTCGGTTGTATCGACTCTTGTCGCCTGAATTAAAATTTTTGAAAAATCGAAGTCCTTGAAACATTGAGTCGCAACACGTGCAAGGTTTAGAACGGACGAAGAAGCACGTGCGATCAGTCGAGGGTCTACTTACCAATGCTTATGTTTCGTGATGAAAGATCAGAAAGAAGAAAGGCGCATTGTCGTTTGCATAAACGTTTTTATGTCTGTGCTTTATGACTTACATACTTCTTTGAACTTTCAGGTTGCCTGGTCAGTTCAGGCTTAAAACACATACATTCAAGAACATAACTTTTGACTTTTTAAGCCGTTTTTTGTTTACTTTGAACAATTTTTGTTCCACGTATGTTGTTAATTGTCTCTGCACATGGTTACCAGATCATACGGGATTAGGTTTTCAATTAAAAAATAAGAGACTTTTGCAGGGGTAAGTCTTAGTCTAGAATTAACAGAACAAAACATTCATCTGAAAGCTCTATGAATGGACGAGTAGGAAATCTATTTTAATTAAAAATATTGATCCAGATTCGTAAATTTATCTTTTATTGCGCAAAGCATCATTTTAGTTCTTTTCAGAAAATCTGTTGAAAGAGTATTAAACGCAGGCACCCATAGGATCGTTTAACCAATTTTTTTTCATTCTTAATTCTACGCCCTCCAACTTTACTACCTGGCTATGGTTTCAGCACAGAACATAAAGCAAATAGAGTCGAACCTGTATTTACCGGCACCGAAAAAGCGGTCACATTGTATCAGGAGGTCGGTTGCTAAAGTCCCGAATTTGTTTCCCCGAAATCACCGTCATTTGCACCTCTATGAATCGGTCGCAGTCACCCTTTGCTGAGTCCCAACAGCCTGTGTTCCAACAGCCTGTTTGTATCGTCTTCTATCTGTTCTGAACGTTTAAAGCCGGACCACTCGAATTAAATTGATAATAATCTTTCAAGTTTTTTAATCCATGTTTGTCGCCCAAAATCAAAATAAGTAGTATTTTCGAGCGAGATTCTGTTCATTAAGTAGTCAGTTATGCCATAAAGTGACATCGTTCATCGTTTTTTATAATGCCCCTAATATGTGGAACCTGCATGTAACGGTCAACCTCTATTAGGAGTCATTACCCGTCAGTGACCTCTAAATACAGGTTCGACCGCATCACAAACTTCTCCTTAGATGAAGTTTGATCAAGGATCTTTTAGTCGAATCACCTTATAGGCATTGCGCAACTTAACCACACCGTCACTCTGAGTGGGTAGCTGGGGTTTAGCAAGTAATTTTAATTCAGTATCATGATTTGACCTGTCCAGTTCAACGGTCATTAATGTCATTAATTTCCCTTCTAAGTTGGTTGAGAAGTTTGTTTAATGAAAGATTCTTGCCTTGTTCCTTGGTTTTCAAAGCTCCCGAGAACACGTGGGCCTACCCATATCAGTCAAACAATTATTTCGTGCTAGTTTTGACAGCCCTGATCGTTGTAAATACTTGTTATTCAAATCAATCCAGCCACAGTTAAAACGATTTTACCAGTACACAATAGCTTGCTGATGAAGAGTAGTTAGCGCCAACCTTATCCGTCAGTCCGGCCATTTTGCATCGAGCCCCAAAACAGCGGCGTGGCCGGCGCTGAGGAGGTCATAACATGCATTAAGGCGAAAATTGTCAATAGATTCTGAGAAAGATGCAGGTTAAATCCGTGATCTGAACATTGCTAGCGTGCAGCAAAGTGCCTAAACATATACTTTCCAAAACTAGATGAGATTAAATCTAGCCGAGTCTGTTTTGAGAATGCGTTGAACGAGCCAGCAAAAGGACTAACTGAACATCACCGTAATCCAGGCGCACACAACAGGAAAAATTCGATATTTCGTGTCTGCAAGGAGGGTTCTAAACGTCATCGTTTTGAAAAGGCTTTGTCGAAATATAAAGAATACAGGAGTCCCTGAGGATCCATTGTAAGTTTAATTTCAATAATTTTCTGTGGAAGAGATGACACTAAACCGGTCCGTAATCACATAAAGATTTACACAGGGAATTAATATCCATGTTTCGTTGCGATTTGTCAAACTTTAGAAAACATCAATAAAGTGAACTTTGCCCTTCACCCCCTAGTTCGGAACAGTAGAAGATAGCGCATCTCCTTTTGTTGTGGTCGTATATAACACACTGCGGCAAACAGCTAAAGATTGAATTCACTGCAAATCTAAAATTCAAATGAGCTGAGTAATATTTGTTGTTTAGAGATAGTATAACATTAGCATCTTCGCATTGTTTCCGGAGTACAGCTTAATCGCACTTTCTGGAATATTTTTGTTGCAGTATTTTCGGCACTTATCTGATACACTTCTTTATCGAAAGGAAAATATCCCGTACCGTTTTTATGCCAAAATGCATAAACGTGTTGCATCCTGTTCCACTCTTAAGAAACATATGCATTAGGTACTGTACACAAACCTGACACGTACTTCTACTTTGAGCTTGTACCTTCACAAAAGTGCCTCCATATTTCACATTTGCTTTCTTTTGAGCTAGGCCAAATTCTGGCAATTTTTTTTCAAGTCAATCGAGTCTTCCTAGTAAACTTTATTTAAAACCTATCGGTGCTCGGCTTAGGAAAAAGAAGGATCTTTGTCGATAACCGTATACATCGTATAAATTCACCAGTGAATTACAATTGGCCTGTTATTGTTTCGCGAAACAGTTCCCGGCTCTACATCTGATGAATTGGATGGAATATGTTTTCCGGTCCCTTATCAGATCTCATATCTTCCATTCTCCTTGCGAGCATCTTCTCTAGATCAAGACTAGGTCTTGAGACTTTAAGTTTCTTTTTCAAACTACCTCGATAAATTTTGTTCCTTTTCCTCCTGGCATCCTTGTCACTTTGATCTTTGACCAAGTCTGGTAGCCGAATGGAATGTTCTTCCGCAGCGTCTAAGTTACCATCAGGATTCGCTTCCAAAAATTCGGTTTTGCATGAATAGAGCTCTCGCAGTTCATCGTCACTTGAGCTAGATAAGTCAAATCCTTCGTCGTTATCTCTAAGAGAAATGTAAAACCTATCTTTACAAAGTTTGCTTTCATCTTCCCTTTCCGATGGGTCCTGATTTTGACTTATACCCCGTTTGTTGTTTCGAACTTGAATGATGCGTACCTCACTGACAAGCGGAGGCGATTTCCTGTGAGTTAGACGCGGTAAATTGCGGCTCGCGCCGCGCGGCTTATTCGCTTGGCCAGTGCGTCTTTCAGGTTTGCCTCTTACGGGCGGCCTTTCGCAGATAAACCAAGCTCTATGCTGTTCTGTGAACGCTGCATCTCCAGCGTTGTTGTTTGCAGCAAGCTGCGAACCAGTTTTTTCAGCTCCGTAAACGAAACCCTCTTC